ACACACACACTGCACCCCTGACACTCACAACACACACACACTGCACCCTAACACTTACAGCACTCTCACACACACCCACACACTGCACCCCTGACACTCACAGCACACACACACACACACTGCACCCCTAACACTTACAGCACCCTCACACACACACACACACTGCACTCCTGACACTCACAGCACACACACTGCACCCCCTAACACTTACAGCACCCTCACACACACACACACACCCTCACTGCACCCCTGACATGCACAGCACACACTCACTGCACCCCTGACACGCACAGCACACACTCACTGCACCCCTGACATGCACAGCACACACTCACTGCACCCCTGACACGCACAGCACACACACACTGCACCCCTGACACACACAGCTTCCTCATACGCACATGGCACCCTCACGCAAACAAAGCACCCAATCACACACAGCACACACACACAGCACCCTTACCCACATAGCACCCTCACATAAACACAGCACCCAATCACACACAGCACACACACACAGCACCCTTACCCACATAGCACCCTCACGCAAACACAGCACCCATCACTAACACACTACACACCTCACACACACTGCACCCCTCACACACACTGCACAATATGCTTTCCTGGCATTTTTGTCTCCTGGTATCCCAACTATGGAGACACCAGAGACAAATTTCAAGCAAACACAGTGCAAGCATGTTATTAAATTTGCTTGCGCTGTGCAGAACAAATACAGGGTCTTTTTCTCATGCCAGAGCTCTTCAGCAGAGCTCTGCGCATGGTCTACCCTGGAAGAGCATTGAACCAACACGCTCACTTTGTGATGGGGCGTGCTTGTCATTGGTGATGACAAAACACACCCTATCTGGCCCCGCCCCCTTTGTAGTGTGCCGCTGTAATTAAAAAATGCCCGGGCCGAATTTTCTTCCCAGTCCGGGCCTGTACAGGATAGTAGATGAGTGATACTCATTTAATATCAGAGGACCATACATATGGTCTCTAGATGCATTGAAGTAGAGGCTGGTAAGACAGTCAGCTATATAGGAAGAAGCATGAGTGGATCACTGGCTTCGCTGAATTTAAGAGTCAATGCCTACATAGTATCCCTAATGCTCCTAGGAAACACCTTCATGGGTGTTCTAATGTTATCCCTAGGTAACTGTGTCAAAGCCACACACCCCCAAGACTACCCTTGTCCTATTAAGAATCTAAGTTAACAAAATAAAAGTGCTAAGCAAACAGTGCCTCCGTGAGTGCAATAAAGTGGGGGGAAAAATGAAACTGAGAAAACAACCCTGCAATAAAGTGAAAAAAAAAATGAAACTGAGAAAACAACCCGGGTGACTGAATGCCTGTGACTGTGTGTGTATGTGACAGTGTGCACGTGCCTGCATGGGTCTAACTGTGTCTAGGTACGCATGTGACTGTGTGATTATGTATGTTGTGACTGTGTGCCTATGTATGTGACTGCACATGGGCCTGCATGTATACAACAGTGTCTGGGCAGGCATGTGACTGTGTGATTATGTTTGTTGTGACTGAGTATCCATGTTTGTAACTGTGCATGTGTTTGTTTGTCTGTGTATTTGATTGTGATAGTCTCAACGTTTGTATGTGACAGCATGTATTAGATTTCTATGTATGTATGTATGCATGTGATTGCATTTCTATGTGGGGTTCGTGACAAACTCCCCTTTTTCTGTGAGATTGCCATGAGTTTTTGGAGGGGCCTCTTTGCCAGCCTCCTACCGTGTGATTATGGCCCTGTGACAAACTTATCAAGGGTTCTTAGAGGGGCCTGCTGGCCAGCCTATTGCCTCAGGACTATGGGCCCTGCAATATACCTTGTCCAATATACTTTAAAAGGCTTCATTCATGTAATGTAAGTACTTTTGTACTCCATAAAGAGAGACCGACTGCTGGCCCTCATTCCCTGGAACTGTATTAGTCATGAAACCATGCTTGCGGCCTGTCAAAAAGAGACTTCCCTGAAACCTTTGAACCTCTGCTCTGATCTGTGTGATTTTTGGATATGTTGTTCACCAAGGTCAGGGCTATCCGGGGATGTCTGTTATGTTTTGGGGTACTTTCTGAACTTTGTGAAAATGTGTTTTTTCTGCCTGGAGATAATTGAGTTACTTACAGAACTTTACTTAATTATCTCCCAAGCAGAGGGGAGGGATTGTGTGCTGTACATAGGCGTGTCACAGACTGACTGTTTGTTCTGATTGTGTCCTTTGTGTTCCTGTGCCCCATCAGGTCCAGGGGTGTTCCTCTGGCCTGGAGAATTGTATAAAAGTCAACCTGAACCATTAAAGCTCAGATCATCTTGCACCTTCATGAAGTCTTGGCTCATGTTTGGGGGATTGAAGAACTACACTCTGGGGATTGCTATAATCACTATACTCCCCTGAGTAAAATCACTGATCTTGTAAGAGCTGTTCCTGCTATGCTCTCGGCACTAAGAGAGGCCTACCCACTGGAAGCTTGAAAAAAAATATAGCAATTTTGCTGTATAGGGCATGTCCCCGCCGTCCACTGCTCAGTTCTCTGTCATTTAAGAGTTAAATCACTTTGTTTATGCAACTCTAGTCACACCTCTGTGACATGCATAGTCTTCCTAAACACTTCCTGAATCATCTAATGTTTACATTTCCTTAATTAAATAGAATATTGCCCCTGCTAGCTATTAGCTTTCTTCAGGATTTACAAATGAAAATCTACAGAAAATTCAAACAGAGCCTTACCCATACTGAGAAGTGAATGAAACCTCCTTTATCCTGAGCTTATCACATAAACTCCTACCTTGGAGGAAAGAGAGACAAAACCGCCTGGAACTGAGAATTCTGACTACCTGACAGGGGCACAGTCTGATTTACCGGCATATGTGCTAACCTTACCCTGAACCCCATTAAGACACGGACACAGGTTATACTGTTGGAAATATTAGTCCACAGCTTTATTAATTATTAATTAAGAAATAACAAATGGGGTAATTGCCAGCAAATATTATTAAAGCCAACATCCCCCCATATACATAACATACCCCTGGCAATGACCCCACAATAATAACAATAAATAACAATCTAATTAACATATTAACACAGAAACTGGCCATCCAATAGGACCACATTTCCACCAGATTAAATTGTAGGGGTGTACCAAGACACCGCTACACCTCCAGGTTCGGAGCCACCAACGGGCTTGAACCTACCAACCAAGTGTAACACTGCCTAATCCACACTAAACCTCAGGATGCCCACTTCCTCCTCCGATTTAACCTGGCCATTCCCCGCCACAGCTCAGGACTTGACACCTAAAGCTCCTGAGCGCCCCCCACCACACCTAAACAAGGCCTGTTGAAGGCCCAAAATAAAAAGGTCACACCCCACATCCAAAAGATGTACACCATTTCTCCTGAAGAACCCAGGAAGCATGCCTTCCAATTCCCCGTGCTTCACTGCCACTCCACCTAAACACCTAATAAAGACCGCCATCATTTTATTGATTTGTCCCCAACACAGAGACACCGCGGCCTGGTCTTTAGCATGTCGCCAATGAAACCGAGTAACCATCTCGGACCACACCACCACCACACCTGGAGCCAGTTCCCGTAGCCGGTCCACATCCCTCTTCATTCATCTGACCAATTCCTTTTTTGGGACCATGCCCAGATCACCTCCAGTATGGATTAACAGTACATCCGGAACGGTGTCCCTTGCCACCTTCCGGAAAATTTCCCCACTAATGCCATTCCCAACCAAAACCCCGAAAACCAAACTACTCTAGTGTCACCAACTTCAGAGGAAAGCCCAGCTGCACTCCTTGTTTCTGAACTGCGGCTCTCTTCTGCGCCCAGTAGATGTAAGAGTGGCCCACCAACCAGGCCACTAAACCTAAAATGAAAACAGAATCAGTGACAAGGCATAACACCAAACACTACCCCACCAATCCCAGCCCATTAAACTAAATGTTCGGGTCATAAGTAGGACTTAAACCGTACCAACTCCTACATACCTATACGTTTCATCAGTTCCTCACCTAGACCCAAGCGGTACGCTCCATCGCCGCCACTATCCAAACTGCATGGGATCCAAACCCAGCTCTGTCAAGCCCATCTGAAAAACCTAAAAGAATTGGAACCACGACAGAGTGGATCCATCCCCATGTACCAAAAAACAACCCAGGACGTTGAAACTCCACATAGTGCGATACACATGAAAATGGGCAGATTCCTGACCCAGGCAGGGTAAATAGTGTTACCAAACAACCTTTACAAAATACATCCGTCTATGCACAGCACAACCGCATCACCACCCTATCAGTACCCAACACCCGCCTGAGAGGTGCTCACCAGTTCACCAATTCAAAAGGCCCCAAAGAACGCCCATGAGAAGGCAACTGAGAATAACCCCATCTCAAAAGGAGATGAACACACCTTTGGCAGCACTCCCACTAAGTGCTGCAGGACTTCAAAAGATACCGGTCTTCTAGTACCCACCGATTTCTTACCTCTCCTAAAGCCCAGTAACGTCCTCCCTACCATTCAACTTGAACAGCAACGCCAATGCCGCCATATTCCTGTCGATCACAGGCGTAGACAAAAGCTATGCAAACAAATGGCATAGGAACCACAGTAACTTATCTAACCGTC